GCAACGCGCAGGCCGCGTGCAAGCCGCGCCAGGCCGGCCAGGTCGGTGTCCCGGCGGGACATCGACTTGGTAAGTTGTTACCTGGGTGTCGCCTAGTTGTCACGAGGTGCCACGTGTCACAATTTCACTGGAGGACCAAATCTATCCTCATCAATGATCTTTAAAACTGCAAAGGTCATCTGGATCTTCTATCTACAGTTCAATGTCATGTATCTATGCTGAAATGTGTGTATGAAATAAATGAGTGAACCGTCACCACTATTCCATATCCTGTCCAATTTGGTTTTAGAATTGCTAGTAATCTACAATGTAAAACAAGGTAGATATAGAGATATTGAGGCTTTTTGAATTTTGGCATGTGAAAAATTGGTTTTGAGGATTGTCAAAGTAATGAATTTGTAACTAAATTATTCATTTTCATTACCTTTCTTCATTTCCTCTCATATTTAAAAAGAAAAAAAAAATATTTTGCTCATCATTTCTGGATGTGTTGTTTTAATTGTAATCCTTAAATCTTAAATAGGACAATAAAATGAAAATATTTATTAAAAACTATAAGATGAAAGTGTAGAACATCAATCTTCAATAGTTGCATTACTTGTATCATAATCACCTAGCCTTGTCCTAACTATACGGGTTGGCCATATGAATTTTGTTCTGCCATTTCATTATGTTCTTTGACATATCAATTGTCAATTTATGTTTCCTTAAATCATTTCTTAATACTTCAATCCATATCAATTTGCAAGTAGCAACAGATGACATCTTTCTGGTGCTTTTGCATTACTTGTAGGGTAATGCTTTTTGTATATTTATTTGAGATTTGAGGACAGGTGTGGCTTTAAGGTTTTTTTTTTTTCTTTTTTCTTTTTCATTGGTTTGCAACTAAGTTTTAAAGAATGATATAAATGGAAGGTGTAGATTGCAGCCAGCTTAATTGAAGTCTGGGATAAAATCCTACTTTTATCAATACCGATTGCTGACCACTGAGCGTTGAGCTTATATACATCCGAAGAAACAAAAGGCAATGGAAGGTCTTGTTCCATATTATCTAATGGAGAATATATCAAATTTAGAACCTCTATGGGCTGGCCCATGGTTGAGGTATTCCACTCAACTCAAAGAAGCATTGTCCCAACTATATGGGCTCAGCTAGTCAAATCCGGTTTTTACCATTCCACCCCTATATATTAAATTGAGTTCTCAAATCATTTCTTACTATGATAGTGATAGAAAATATACCTCACTACCTTGTGTTATTTTTGGCCAGGCCTAGATTTTCCAAGAATTAGGTCTTTTTGCTATAGTTGTTATAGATTGAACATGTTTTCTCAAAACTTGTGTACATTGGGGAAGTCCAGTGAGAGATAATAGAGAATGTTGAACAATGCTATTATAGTTTTTTCTCTTGGTACAGAACATTGCCGTTCAAGATCAAAATATCCACTATTCAAACTAATGGAAGCATTGTCATGAAATGAAATTGTCTTCATATCCTCTCTTTAGTCTTTTTCTTTGATAGGTTTCAATCTTGTTTTGTTTCTCCATGCTTTGGTTGTTTGATTTAGGTTCATGTTATGAAGTATTATGTATTTGATATAAAATCAGAACCATCTTGTATTATTGTTATTCATCCCTCATTATTGCTGATTGAAGACACAATTATGATGTGGAAACTAATAACATTATTTCTCTAACCTACTGCTTCTAATCCATATTCATATACAAAAGTCTTATCATATTTTCCTTAATTAGCCTTGGTGTTGATAGGTGGATATGCATCTAATGGAGCTTCTTCTCCAGGTGGACAGTCTAATGGTGATTCAACTAACACAACAGTAAGTGCAACTCTCTCATCTTGTTACCCAAAAGACTGTTCTCCTCTTTTATATCATTAACCCAATTACCTAAACGATCAACACCTATTGGAGGACCAATGCTGAGGAAGTAAATGCCAAATAAACTTCCTGTTAAAATGAAAAGGAAAAAACCAAAAAAAAAAGAAGCAAAGGAAGACAAGGAAAAACAAAGAACTAAAAGAAAAATACGCAAAGATCTATATTTGCCAACAACCACCAACAAAGTGGAACTAGGTTAGAACTGAATCAAGTAACAATGAAAAGTATGACACCATAACCCTGCCAATAAAGTCACACAAAGCAAAATCTGAGCAAAGAAACTGTAAATTACTGTAACACAAAAACCCTAAGTTAGCAACCAAGAAGCAAACAAGAAAATACAAACAGAACACATTGTCGCCAAAGAAAAACAGAGCAAACAAAATCTCTACCAGAAAAAAGGGAAAAAACATATGCAATGCAATTGACCGGTGGTGGCAGAGCTACGAGATAATAGAGGAGTTAGTGAGCAGTGGCAATACCATTACCACCAAGCCTAGATAACCCACACAGTCGTTCCAAAATGCAGTGCAAGAAAAATACCATACTTAGTTAACAACCAAGAACGCTAGAAAAGCATTACAAATCACATAGCAGAAAAATAACATACTTAGATAACAACAAAGATGAAATAAAAAAAAAAATTACCAATGATTAGCATACCAACACCAAATGCGCAAGAGCAACCAACAATAGCATACACCTATTAAAACCTACCAAAAGAAGAGTCACGAACAAACAAATGAGGTGAGCATAGACTCCAGACAGCATATTAAAAGAAAAAAGGTGGAAATTTTAGGAAGAACTTTGAAAAGAAAAAAGAGGCTTTGTTTCTTTTCCTTTCTTCTTCTTTCTCTCTCTTTCCTTCATTTCACCTTTTTCTCCTTCTCTCTCTTTCTTTTAATTTCCATCTGAGTGGAAGAGAAGAAATTGCTAAAAACTAACCAAAGAAATAGTCGAAAAGATGAAAAAAAAAAACAACAAATGAAATAAAGCAAATATGATGATATTTCATGAAAAACAAAAGCAAATAAGCAGTTATTCAAATGACAGTAAGCAAAGGAAAACCAAAATCAAAGAGCTCCATAGAGGCAAACGAAACAAAACAAAAGGCAGAGATAAAATCCTCCTACAAACCCTGAAGCAAAAACAAACCCTAAGAGCTATTGAACCTTGAAGTAGAAATAATCAAATAAACCCTATTCCATTGTTGAAGAAACCCTACGGAGCTCTAGAACCCCAACTCGAGACAAAATCCTCTCACTGCTAGGAGGTCTTAAGGACCAAAAAGTTGTTAGGGAACATAACCCTACAGAGCTCTAGAACCCCAACCCCGAGACAGAACCCTCTTATTTCATTCACTGGTAGGAGGTCTTAGGGACCAAAAAGTTGTTAGGGAACATAACCAGTGAGACAAAAAGAGAATGATGAGTAATAGGATCTCTCCATTACCTGGGTTTTCTTCCTATCTACGGAAACCCCTAATTAGAAAAATGGCAGTTGGATTGCTTCTCTCCCATTGGAAAAAAAGCATTGAAAATGATTGACCAGATTGCCTCTTTCGTTGAAGGTCTTCGCATGCCGTAAACGAAGAAAAACCTTAGAAGCTGAGGAAAAAAGGGAAAAAGAGAGACTGTGAGAGGGCAGCTATAGATGGGGGAGATGGATAAGAGTAACGAGGGATTTTGGAGGAGAGAGAGAAAGAGAGAGGCAAATGATACCAACGAAGTCCTGCCAATCTCGAAGATTTGAAGCCTATTGTCTCCTTCCTCCGTGGTTAAACATTGGTACATTTCAAGTGCTTGAACACTTCCTCAATTGGAATTCATTCCAGATCAACATATTCATACTTGCAACAGAGGTTGAGAGTCTATTCACGGTGAAGATTTTCGAGGTTTCTGTTTCTGTTTCTGTGAGCAAGGGCAAGAACGAGAGGGAGAGAGAGAGGGATTCCTGCGTGGAAAATAAAGAAAAGAGAGGATACGTGTTGCACATGCAATGACATATTTCATTTTATTCGCACGCTCAAAAATACTCGCACGTGAAGGCATTCATCTACTCGCACGAGTAGATTTCATTTTGCGTACGGAGAAAGCAACATTTCATAATATATATATATATATATATACATTAAGTGGATGAAAGTTTTAATGTCATTTATATGATTTTTAGCTACATTTATTAAAGCGCCATTAAAACCTATTTTTAGTGACATCTTCTATTCATTTGTAACAATAATAGTGTTTATTGTTTTTTTAGTGTTTATTGTTGTTTTTTTCTTTATCAACAATTTAAACATTGATAAAAAACGTAATAGTTTCAAATTTTTATCTTTTCCATTCAAAAAAGTTGGGATCATTAGAAATGTAACAATTCAGTATCTATCGTTAATTAATTGTTAATTAACTGTTAAATGGCATTTGAAAAAAACACAAATGTCCTTCAATTGTTATTTAATTTTCTTTATCAATCATCTAAACACTGATAAAAAAATTAACGGTCCTAAATCCTGTATTTTCCATTCAAGAAAGTTGGGATCATATTTGATTGAACATTCTGGTAGCCATAACTTAATTAAATAAAAGAGACAAAGATTTGAGACTTAATTTTTTGTTAATATTTAAATGAAATAAAAGAAAATTAGATGACACTTAAAAAAGCGACATATATGTCTTTTTCAAATGCCACTTAAGGAATGGTTGTATGATCCTCGAAGCCCATTGTTCCAAACCAGGCATCTAATAATGCCGAAGACAAACTGATGATGCCACGTTGACTGCATATGGCTGCCGTCTCACAGAGATATCTCGTGACAAGTCTCCCAATAGGTATAGAGGGTATCCATCGTAGACTTTCCCACCCCACAAGGTTGCCGTCGAGAGGATGGGAATAAGACCCTTGGTGAATTCAGTGCCAAGAGACTCGGTATTGGATGTATTGTATGGCTGGAGATCTACCTCTAAGACAACACTTCTTTTATCAATACGTCAACAGCTTAAATTTTTTTTACTGTCTTTTTTCCTCTTATTGTAATAAAATTTCTTTTAATTATGTTCTGATATGCCAGATGATCCAAGCTAGTGACACGCTGCCATGTGGCCCATGTGGAAGGGCAAAATGGTAAATTCACTAACAAATTGGCCATAAATCCCATAACGAGACTTTTCCTTTATAAAAGATTACACACTCTAAATAGTTCGGCTTCGGTCGGGACAAAGTCCATTCGAGCAGAATTCGGATTATTTGAACTTGATGGTTGTTCAGTAGGCTGTGAAACCAATGATGAGGTTCTATGTCAATAATAAATTCATAGGCCCCACTGTAAAAAGTGCAGGCCCCATGTATTTAAATATTGGCGTAGAACCTTATTATTGATTCCACAACCTGCTGAACAGCCGTCACATTCAATCAAACCTTATTCGTTCGAGCAGTTTTTACAGCCTTGTATTGAGAATATCTCCATATTTATGTGCTTTATTTCATCAAGAGATATTTCCAATGCAAAGTTGCAAAAGGTGATTGGAACGATGTGGGCACGAGCTTGCCCTAATGGAAGCCAATCTCCACTCCAAAGGCACATTCTTTATGCACACTCATTTCTCTACTTTATTGCTCTCTAGTCACCTTGGTTCATCTCTTATTTTCTTCTATTCATTTGAGCTCCCAAATTCATACCTTAACTAACTAGATCTTCGGAGACTCCTCTCTTAGGCTCAATTTGGAAAGAGTACAAATACAAATATGTACATTACAAATGGATACAAAATACTAGGTTTTGCACTCTACATATTTGTATTTGTAAAGCTCAGTTTGGAAAGAGTACAAATACAAATACGTAGAGTGCAAAACCTTGTATTTTGTATTATTTTGAATGTATTTGCACTCTACATATTTGTATTTGTACTCCTTCCAAACTGAGCTTGCACAAATACAAATATATACAAAATAATACAAAATACAAGGTTTTGTATTGTACATATTTGTATTTATACTTGTTCCAAATTGAGCCTTAGGGAAGAATTGCAGGGCATCTAACTTATTTTTGTGATAATAGGTGATGTGGGTGTTTGGTATCGTGGTCAGACCAAGATATATTGCATTTTGAAATGCACCACAATCTCTTAAAGGTCTTCGATTGACTTGTGGTGTGGACTGATCCACACTATCTCATGGATTGGTCCACACCAAAAGCCAATTTCTCATCCACATGTTTTTATCGTGGATGATCCACACTACTGTTAGAATTTTTTTACTAAAAACGATTTCATGCTTTGCATGGTATGTTTTACTCAGTCTATCCCGTATTTTTTAATTCAATATGTGTATATTTTATTACTTTTTAATTAAATATATGTATATTTTATTAATTATTGTTTTATATAAAATTAATACTCTAGGCAACCTAATGATTTTTTTTTTATTTTTATAAAATAAAATATTGCTTTTTTGTGTTAACAACATAGATCACCTCACATGTTGTTAGGCCCGTTACTGATACCTAAAAATCCTAGGCCCATTTGACATTTAATCTGATTATCTCAGATTCAAATTATGTATTTATGTAATTCAATCGGATTCAAATTTGACCCCATCCAATCCAATTATATTATAATATTTATTAATTTTTATATAATTATATTTAAAATTATAAAAGTATATTATATTATATATAAAAATAATTAAATTTTAAAATTTTATGATATTTTAAAAAATTTAAAGCAGGGTCTAGTTAAATCCAAATCCGATCCAAGTCTCTTAGGAATCGAATTCTAATATGAGTCTTTAAATCCGGTTGGATTCAGATGCAAGTTTTCATTAATCAAATCGGATGTGGATTTTGCTGCACTTGATCTAAGTCGGATCTAATTACAACCCTACATGTTGTAGGTGAGATGCATGGAATCAAAACACAGGGTGTCGACTGAAATGCACCACACCTTGTAAAACACCTATGGGGTGTAATGTGGTTCAATCCACACTTCTTTGTCCATGGTTCAGAACAACTAATGTGTTGGGGTGTAGTGCATTCTCATAAAAACACACCACCCAATCTCTCATCTACCTTATAGAACACCCCGACATTGCTACTGTGATCTTTGGACATTTCTAGCTTTCTCCTTGCCTTCAAAACCGAATAACATCATATATAGAAAAAGTAGGGAATTGTATACAAGGTTTGTGCAAGTTTCCCCATCTTTCCCTACTTTTTCTTTTAAACCAAAGACAACCTTAATTCTCAATGCTGAAATAATTTTTTAAGCTTTCCAACCTTAATGTCTCATATGGCTTTTGTTTTCCAATGGTTTCAATTTTTATTTTCCAGAAGTTATCGTAAAAAGGTTCCTCCTTTTACTATGCTACAAATTTAATAATAATAATAATAATAATAATAATAATAATAATAATAATAATAATAATAATAATAATAATAATAATAATTACTATTGTTATTTAGAAATTGTTATCATTTTATTGTATTATTTAATTACATATTTAGTTATTTTATCAATGTTATAAAAACCATTCCGGAACCACTTTGCCCATTGGTTTTTGAGTCAACGGTTTGACCATTTGATCCAAATGGATCATCTTGTTATGTTTGAAGAATTAAAAATATAAAAATTAAAATAAATAATTGACCTGAAAACAACTGAGTGTCCATTTAGTTTGTGGTAATAGGGGTCCGGAATGAGAATCTGAATGGTCCATTCCAATTCTAACTGTTTGGTTGGGTGGAATCTGAATGCTCATTCCTGGTAAAATGGCCATTCCCACCCTCTCCCCCAGGAATAAGAATCCATTCCAGCCAATTCTGATTCCGGTTTCCATTCCAGACTGAACCAAACTGGTGAAGGGGATAGATCACATTAAGATTGTGATTCTGATTCCAATTCCGACTGTAAACCTAACGGACCCTAAGTGATGGCATTACGTTAGCAGACATCTAGCCTACCAAGTATGGGGGAGGTTTCAAGTTTCAACAAGTATCATAAAATTATGGGGTAAGTTGGAAAAACTTTCCCTTCCCATTCCCATTCCATAGGAAAAAAGACCCATCCCAAAGAAATAACCTAGTGTGAAGGTTTTCAAGACTTGTGAGTTGCACCACCCAGTTCGCTAGTGATCATGTTTTCAGTGGAAGAAACTTCTGTGCTCTGCTGGGACGAAGCCGGTTTTTTTGACTTAAACCAAAAGCAAGAAAATTGGGGAACGGCCAATGGGGCTGTAAGTCTGTAACATAGTTGCTTTCCGAGTCGAAAGTAGATGGTGAAAAAAATTGGCAATGGCTTCGGTCTAGAATGTGTAGATGGTGAACCTCTGCTGACTGCTAATTAGATGGCAAATTCACCAGCTGGCAGCTGCCCACAAACTCAGGTACGTATGCTATACCGTATTTCATTGGAATAATAACTGTTCAGCCCAGGGTCAGAATTTGTAGATTTAAAATACATTTCAGGTAAGTGTCAGTTCAAAATTGATGTTAATTTACAGGCAGCCACGGGACAGGTATAAGTGCATAGAGTGTGAATTTTTGACATTTTCAATGTTTATAACTCTACAGTGGAAATCAGATATGGGTCTGTCCATACTTTTCCGTATTTCATTTTGGATTCTGTTTTCATTAAACTAGGTTGACTGATGGGTCAACGGCATCGGACTAATATGCTCGTCCCATTAGTCTCACACCTACCGCAATCATCATGTTTAGACTCAATTTTGGCGTATTTCACGCCTTCATTTCGCCGCTGGCATCTTTAAAATATGGGTCGTTGGAACATTTTGTTTTGACTTTAAGATAGTCCTACACGTTTTTAGGGGGGAGGAGATCTTTTGGCCTTTCCAAAATTCCCATGAGCCTTCACTTCTTTTTGTTTTTGCCATGGTTTGGGGTTTAGCATGGCATGGCGTTATCTTTAAATCCCTCTTGTTTTTTAGGGTTCATTCGTTTTTTGGATTTTGAGAAGGAAAAATCGATCAATAGGATTTTGATTTTTATTGGCTAAGATACCCATGTTTTTTTTTTTCAGATTTATGTGAAGTTTATAAAAAATTAATTTTCGTTAAATACTCGTCTTCTAGGTGATAAGTAATTTTTTCACTTAGAGAAAAAATTGCCAACATTTGGATGGAATAAAATTGTCCCTTTTAATAATGGCTTTTTATAGCTAAAACAATCATTATCTTATTTACCTAAAAATAAAAGAACATGGATAAATAGCCTTTTGAAAAACCAATTGGAGACTTAAAGTTTTGGTGTGGCATTACTGGTCAATTAATGAGTGAGTCACACTTGATGAATTTTTGTGCCACTTGTAGAGATTCTCATTTTCTCAAGATGTTCTCCCTCAACGCTCGTGGTTACTTTATTATTTAATAAGGGTTTAATGAATGAATTTCACCCATAAGGCTTAAAGCATACTATTCCATTACTTGAACTCTCAAAACGTCTTAGTTAAGGTTCAAAGTTTTGATACGTATGGGGGCCTCTCGATACGCCCCTATAGTGGGTGTTTTGGGTCAGACCATGGTTCAAGGGATAGACGGGCCTTAAGCTAACCCCTTTGAACCAAATTGAAAAAAAAAAAGAGAAATGAGCCTTGATATAGGTCAATACCCTGGTAGGGGCATATCGGTTGTATCGATATTTTGAACCTTAGTCCCAGTTTAATCCCTACCTTTAGTAGTTCATCAGTTACCTGTACATCATGACATATGCAACTTAAAACTTTTGAAAATATCACTTCTTTCTCAAGAATCAACATTGAACCAAGGCAATGGTAAACAACCCAAAGGACATTTGGATTTAAGCATTTGGATGATTGATAAAGAAAATTAGATGACACTTGAAAGGCATTTGCATCTTTTCATATACCACTAAACGGTAGTGATTTTAGATTAAACTGGGACATTTTAAGAGTTCAAGTACTGGATTGGCATGTTTTGAAATTCGGGTACCAAAGCAAGACTAGACCCAAAGCACAAGTAATAATCTGCAATTTACCCTAAAAATGACAGTAAAAGATCAACCCGAATGAATGCATTGAGCAGAACTGGAGGGAGTATGCAGAATTTCATCTGAATTGGTTAACCAAAAAAATGGCCAACATCGAGGAAATCATGAAACAAGAAATAAGGAAAACATCTTTCTTTGGTAATTACAATTTTTTCTTGTAATTACAAATTAACCACTTTTCTAACTTGATCTATAAATACATGATATTGATACTTAAGGACATGGGTGACCATTTATATTGTTTCATACAAGAATAAGATATCCATGATCTGCTTTTGTTGATTTCTTCTAAATTTGAGCATTTTTACACACCTTTACATTAGGGTAGGAGCTAACCCCTTCAGTAACAAGCAAAACATGACGAGTAACATAAACATGAAATTATTGAAGCTCCCTTTCTTCTTTCCATGCTCTACTTTATCTTTCTTGTGCATTTGTGAAAGAATAACTGCCATGGGCATCCTATACCAATATGGTGTTGTATAGATGATTTCTACTGATAATCAGTACGATGCCCATCTATAAAGATTGTTGATTACTTAAGAAACCAATATCCTTTTGCCATTGATGGACCTATGGATCTTAAGAAACCAATATCTTTTTGCTACCCAATAAAAACCAAGGGCAATTCTAGTTGAATCATATCTCAGAATCCATATTTTTTATGGTATGACTTATCCAAGAGACAGCTAGTTCCTTGAAGGGACTGTTATAGGCATATTCAATGGAGCAGCAGGGAAGCTCACAGAATACGATAAACAGGAGCTGGCACCTTTAAACCATTTATAGCTTGATAAAAGTAGGATCTTCTCTTGTCTAGTTGATGGAAAGGTTTTCAAACCAAGAATACCTCTCATATGGGGTAGGCACGCTTGTTCTATTAGAGAAAAATCCACAACTCAATGGTGATTTTCCATAAGATCAGCGAGTGTGATCTTCCCACAATTGCCTGTGTCCAGCCTGTCAAACTGGTTGCAGATCTGCAGGATATCTTTCTCTGCTATCTTCCCCATCTCCTTAAGCTTGTAGATAACATACTCAGATTTGCTGGATGTACACAAGAAAGAAAAGAGTACAAAGTTAGAAGGGATACAAACCAAAATGTAAGAAAGCAATGGTCCTTGGTCAAAGCAAAATGGATGCAACCAAAGAAAATAGCTTGCTCTCTCTCTCCTGGTCAGAGTCAGAAAGCAACAGTTTTCAGAATACATGCAAGAGAACCCATCTGAATGAAGATGATGTTCTTCCATTCCTGTCTTTATTTTTTCTGTTTTTAATCAGCTACAGACTAGATGGTAAGTTTCAGAGATTTCATACGGTTTGGATGATACAAGGATTACACTTGTAGAATCAACAAACCACAAATATGTAAAGTAAATCACTTCTGCATAACAGCCCACATAATATTTTGATCAATAAGCAAACAGACCATAAGCACAGAAAGTAAACAGTACATGCATTTGATGCCTCATGTAGGGGCCAATGTGTGTTCAGTTCTGGTTTTAATTACTTGGTCCTGCCTAATGACTCAGATCCACAGTTCTCAAAGAACCTGATTCAAATACAGGTTTACCATCCCATATGAATAGTATGGGATAGCACTGTTAAATTACTTTAGCTTAGCAAGCCATGGCACTGTCAACCACCTTCCTGCAGGCATATTTACCAACTTGAGATTTGAGAATCATGTATACCATCCTAAAATGTAAAAAAGAGATCAAAGCACTAATTGTTTTATCAGATTATATGAGGATGGTATACTGCTTCTCGTAATAAAAGTGGAACCTCAATAAAGGACAGGACTTAAATATATATGCATGTATGTGGAGAGGTAACAGAAGAAAGGCCCCAAAACAAATAGCAAGTAATAGTCTTATTATTCAAAATAAAGACTTTTCCTAAGCTAATGTGGGTCCTTCTGGAGTGGGGGGAGCATTTAGAGACAAAGATGGTAATATGATAGCATTGTGTTCAGGATCATTGTTGTTGGGGATTCTATCATTCTATGAAGGCTGTTCTACAAGGAGTGCAACAGGCAAAAGATATGAATTTGGACGAGATGATTATTGAGGGCGACTCTACGGTGGTGATGGTTAAGGAGCATTGAGAGGGTAGCATGGGCTTACAAAGATGAAATTATGAAATTTAAGGGTCAATTTTTTTTTTATGAGTAGAAATTTAAGGGTCTGTTTTTTTTATGAGTAGAAATTTAAGGGTTTGTTTGGTTTACTTGAATGGGGGTCTGGAATCGGAATCGGAATTGGAGTCCATTCCGATTCCAACCATTTGGTTGGGCGGAATCAAAATCCGATTCCCATTCCTGGTTGAATGGCATTTCTCCATCTGAGGGAATGGCGATTCACTACCCCTCCCTTGTGAATCAGAACCCATTCCAGCCAATTCTGATTCTGATTCTGATTCCGATTCCCATCTGAATCAAATAGGCAGGGAGAATAGACCATTCCAGTTCCGATTCCAACGGACTTCGATTTTGATTCTATTTATGACTGTGAGCCAAACAGACCCTAAGTGGATAACATGCAATATCCTTTTAAAGATACAATGGGTGGAAAGATTTACAAATAGCTTGGTTGATACATTAGCCAAACAAGAGGTAATTAAAGATCAATTATATTGGGCTCAACTATAATTTGATGTTTGTTGACTGGGGAGGTAGTTTTACCTCCCTTTGAGATGCCTGTATTGTATGTACACATTGTGATTATATCATTAATAAGCACTGTTAACACATTAAAGTTATAGCTACCTCCATGGACTGATAGAACCTGATGCATGTCCACTGAACACTAAATAGATTTAGGAAAGTCCATGTGACACTACATTTCAGAACAGTAGAAAAAAATTCAAAATGTCTCTTATCTCATTAAGGTTGATCCAAAACTCCATGAACCCCCACTTGCCCACCTTATAGCAATAACTGAATCACCAAGCAGTGTTAATGAAGGGGGTTGAAAGCCTTTTTAACAATCCTTGAATTAGTGAACAAGACACCATTAAAGTACCAAAATAATGAAAGACCCAGGTAATCCCCCCCCCACCCCTGGTATGAGTTAATGTTTTCTATTTAACTCCTTTGCAATGCATTGAGGAAGAAGATATCCCTAAGTTCTTCCTCAGACAACATCCAAGAGTCAACCAAAAAAGAATATGGTCACTTGGCGCATTAAATAAGTTGACTTTACAACGTCTCTCTGCCCATACTTTCCACATGATGGAAGGCAATACTGCCTTCAATACAGCCTTCTTTTGGAGTCTAACCCAGCAGACATCCATGTGAGGCTGGACTCTTAGCGCATTTAATAAGTTGACTTTACAATGTATTTCTCTTCCCATACACTCCACATGATGGAAGGCGATATATTGCCTTCAATACAGCCTTCTTTTGGAGTCCCCACAGACGTCCATTGTGAGACTGGACCAACCTACTCCAATATCTGATGACCCTATAAAATCTAAAAGAAAATGACAAAATCTCCCTGTTTCCCAGAGGAGGTATGGGGCCATCTTTTTCAGCTTAACCTCAATGACATCTATTACTTGATTTCTAAGAGAATTCTTAGAGAAATCATTTTCTCAAAAAAAAAAGAAAGAACGAAACTTGTTAGGGGAGAAGTCAGCACATGGTTGGGCAAGGAAAAAACAGCTCGGTTGTATCCCAGAAGGCAGAGGAGCTAGAGATTGGGTTATGTTTTCTAATACGGTTCAGGATTTTACTCATTATGTTGAAAAGATGTTGCCTAAGGAGATTGGAAGGGGAAGAAAAGAGTCAGACGGAGATGCAGGTGGGGCAACAAAGAGTGGAGAAGGAAACAATACTTAACTGCAAATAACAAGTAGGTTGGGGAAGCTGAAATTTTTCTACAATGGTCTGAAGGAATAATGGGAATCTAGATTGGTGTTGTCCACAAGAGAAGAGATCAAGGACTGGAATGAAGTAGAAGAAATCAGGGAACATTTCCATAATGATAGCCAATGGTGGTTAATCCGTTTGAACAGAAGAAAGCTATACTCGGCTTTGTGGGAGGTGTGGAGGTTGTAGAAGCTATGGTAAAGATGAAGGTGGGGCTGGTACAGGTTGAACATTGGTGTCCTTCAAGCAACTCAAAGTCAGTGGATCCTGGGAGAAGATCATGCTCAGAATCTTTGGACTACCTTTCCATTTGTGGTCTGAGATGATCTTCAAGAGAGTTGTAGAGCTCCGTGGTGGAGAGATGATTGCCTTAGATGCTGGTAACCTTCAGTTGGTGGCAATACAACTAGTCAAGGCAAAGCTAGAAGTGATTCCTCAAATGTTTGAACTACACAAGGAATTTTTAAGGTTGCAGGATTGGATTACATCTTTTGAAGCTAGGTCGTGGAAGGAGGGAGGGATGACATGCCACTTCTTTCACCATATGGTTGACTGGGAGAGAAAGGGCCATAGAAGATAGAAAGTTTCACCAGAAAGAAAACCGGAGGGTCGGCAAAGATTAGAGTAGATGGACAGTTGCATTTTAAGAATCCTATTTCTGAACCATGCAGTGCATTCAAAGGGATGGTGTTTATTCATTTGACAGGGGGTGCAGGAATCAAAAAGTTCAGCATTTAAAGCAACTGCAACTCAGTCAGTTGGTGTGGGTAATAAGGAAAAGCTTTTTACTAGTGATTTGGATGGACCAAAGGCAAACCGGGTGGGTGAGCCACGAGTGGATGATTCAAATTTTCTTTTTAGGGGCTAGAGGGTCTTGGTGATGTGGGTCTTGGGTTTTGAAACTTTGTGGGTGATGTCTTGTCAGTGGTCACCTTATTGTATTTTCTTCTTTAATAATACTTTTCTTTTTTATTTATTACCAAAAAAACAATTGGTGTAAAACTGACTACTCTAATATCAATAAATTTTTTCTTTTATATTTATTACCCAAGGATGATTACTCTAATATCAATGATCATGAATTCATGATGATGACTTCACATGTGAACAACTAAAGCTCTTGTTTCTAATTTTAGATATCCAGTTTTATTAAAATATAATTGGGGTTGGCTACACAAGTCCTACTAGATAATTTCATTTTATCTTGAAGATGTCATCTTGAGCATAGTTCTCAAGCCCCTTCCCTCCTTTCCATTACTTCTACAGTTCTTTCCAGAAACTTGCTTTTGTAAAGCCTTCAACATGCACCAAACAGCCAAACCATTATTTCACAGTAATACAAACACGGATCTATGATCTACATGAATAAACCATATCAGTTGACTTTCTCTCATCTTGTCATATATCAGGTCTACCATAGCATGCATAAATGCTTTCATTTTCTAAATTTTTATAGTCTTGACAAGCAACCATCTCTTCAGCTTTGTTGTATTCATTTGATGAACATGTTTCTTGATTTCCTAATGCTCTGTCCCATAAAGCGTGGGTAGTTGTAAACCATCTCAATAGAAGTGTGCACTAACTTGCATTATGTCCACTTTAACAATTTTGGTTTAATTTCTTTTTATCCCTTTTCACATCTACATATATGGTATTTTAACCATTTCACAAAGTTGCTATTTCCAAAGATAATCTGTTGATTCGTAGCCATCCATTAATAGCTCATAGGGTACCCACCATGGTAGAAGTACCCCTTGGATTTCAAAACATAACTTGCTAGGTTATATGTTGTATCTGTAAACTTCCATAGAAACTGCATATTGGATACCACTACAGATATATCCTAAGTTTCTTATTTGGTGAAAAATTGAAAGAGGATCAATAAGCATCAAATTTGTTCAAGCATCTAGTATACATAAAGCATGCCTTGTTATGGTGGAGACTTAACAGACCAATTATTGACACCATTTCATATTACTGTTGCACCTTTGCATCTCAGTGCTTAGAGTAATTCGATAATTGATCCAATCAATCGTTGTCCTCCTAACAAATCCTGAGAGAGCTGTTACAGAGACCGGCACTCCTTCATATGGAAGGATGAATCAATCCAACCCAGAATTCTAACCTACTGGGCTGGTTAACTGCAAGATCAAGAAACTTATAAAGGTGAAATTAG